AAAAAAAAAAAAAAAAAAAAAAAAAGCATTCCTCTCATTATATGATGAGGTCTCTGTACTGAGAACGCTACTTGCATTTTGATCGCTATGACTAGAGAAAAATCACATGAATGTGGCCCAGAAGCTAAATTAGCCATAGACACAAAAAGATTCCCCTAAGAATATAGGCACAAACACTTGATCTCAAATCTAAAAAGCAAAACCTCAGGGACTCATCATTAGCGGCATCAGACAGCATGGTCGGAAAGCAGGATTCAAAACCAAGCCTTGTCACTTTCTGGCTATGTGATCCCCAGTTTTCTATTATCTACTGAATGGAGGTAATAACAGTATATCCCTGCAAAGGACTGCTGTAAGGATTAAATCAGATATTCTATGCAGTGCTCAATAAATGTTTGCTGTTAGTATCAATGCTTATATAAAATACCATGAAATATATCAGTAACATTGAAATATGTAAATTTTGGACAAATCAAGGGTGCTCTGTTAAAAAAAAGGTATTTCTTTGTATAGTAACTAATACATCTATGGAAATGATTAACCTAGAAGGTTGGACAGGCTAACTATAGTGATGGACTTTAGAGAGTTTGGACATGATAATTAGGAGCCTTATGGAAAACAGCTTCTGATATTTTTAAGAGGGGAAAATAAAAAAGGGCATCTAATTTATAAAAACAAAACCACAAAGGTGATACCCAAGCAAAACATCCAAAAGAAACTATGCTGTCTTTCCAATAGTGGTTACATTAAGTTACTGAGATCATGGGTGATTCTGACCCATTTCCCAACAGTTAATCTTCTAAAGCATTTTTATATTGATTATCTGACTTTTTTAATAAAAATATTCATATAGCAAAGAAGTTTAATAAATCGTAGCTGGTAATCATACTGGATTACATCCATGGGGGTTCACAGAAACACGATCATCTTTCGAAGGAAGGTCCTATAGCTGACCAGCCCACTTCCCATGGATCCCAGCACACTGAAAGACTCTAAATATAAGTTCAAAGACCTGCCTGTAGAACTTCCTGGTGTGTTTCCTACATTCCTGTGTTAAATGACAAGCTAATTCTATCATAGTGAATTTGTGAAACCCAGTGTCTTAAAATGAATAACTGTTACAGAGAACAATTCTACTGAAAATATTCTTGTACAATTTTTCTATATATCCACTTAACCAAGAATGAATGACGTGTGGCCACATACCAATTCCTGAAGGCAATTTAGGTTTAATGCCATTGTAAATATTGCTTAGAACGCCATTCTGAAGATCAGTTATACAGGAAGTCAGTGCCTTCCCACTGTAAGCAACAAACCCAAATAATGTCAGATATGTTTTATAATGTGGGTTCTGTTAAGAGTTTCCCCCCAGATGGTGAAAAGCTGGATGATCAAAGCATGTGTTCTGCCAACACGAAACAATGCTCCTTTAGCAGCATCAGCCTAAATGAATGTGAACGAAATCCTTCTTTGACACCTCTCTCATGAACAGTTTACCCAGCAATGGCTCTTTGGAAGAGCCAACTGCCACAACCATTGAACACTGGAAAAAGTTCATGCTTAATTTCTGTGTGGAAGTAATTTAGTTTCAGCTTTAAATGTAGGTCAATTCTTCAAGAAAATTACATTTCCACCTTCATTCTTGACCATTCACTTATTAAACAATTTCTGAGTGATTATTCTGCACCAGGCACTGCACTAGTTACTGCCAATACAAATACAAATAAAACCAAGAAACTTACAGTCGGTCTAACACTGAAGATGGACACAAAGAGATGATTATAAAGCCCTGGGGAAAGCAGCATGAAAGATGTGGAAGCCTTTAGAAGAGGCACCACAAATGTTTGTGGACTGAATGAATGAACGATTGATCACATGACAGACCTCTGGCACATTCTCTACAATTCTTTGCATCATAGCACATTTTATGGCTCCTAGTTGAGGCGTTGTCTCTACAAAAAGGTTGGAAACCACGAACATAATCACATGGTAAGCTTTGTGCTCTCCTTAAAACTGCTAAATCAGAATTTAATTCTGAAATTATGCAATGGTTCAGTATAATAAAACAAGATCAAACGCCATGCATCAGCCTGTGTCAGCCTACATCCTGTGTTCAAGCTGATCAATAACATTTTTGAGCAAAAATGATAGAATTTTTGCTATTCATAATTTATCACTAAAAAATTTTATTTACAGTGATTTTCCCCTTTGCCATCACTTCTTAATCGGTTCTTAATGCACATGCAAGCACACAGGAGAGACTGTCCAGCTACACAAACTACATTCTCTGCATAAATAATCTCATTCACTCTCAAGTACATTCACACAATCTTTATTTTAAATCATTTTTCTCTGCGGAATCCAATTAAAGTTTACAGATACATATTTTATTAATCATTTTAGATATTGATATTTGTAGTTTAAGAAAACACTGCTATGTATGTTAAAAATGAAGAAGGAATATATGCTCTCTAGATCACTCTCTGTCATCGTCTTGTTAACAGCCTTTGCTCAAGTTCCTTGGTGCCCAGTCTATTAGCCACCCATTTCAACAGACTGCAAAATCCGATTTTTGTACCAATTTAGTAGATGAAATGTGTGAGTGTCCCAAGGAAAGAAAACTTTCACAGAGGTTTAATCTCACATCACTCCAGTTGGATATGGAGGGCGCAATATGTGTGAGGCACATGGATAAGAGCCCAGAAGCCACGGGGGCAATGATATGAACACCCCATGGCTGGTGGACCTGTATATTGCAACCTCAGTGACAGGGCATGTGGCCACGGACCCACAGGCAAGTACAAAAAAGGCTCTGGGCTGTTATCTAACTTCTATGTTTTTTTTGGTGGTGGGAAGAGGGAACACAAGATATTCTCTCATTGCAACCTCCACCTTCTGGGCTCAAGTGATCCTCCCACCTCAGCTTCCCAAGTAGCTGGGACCACAGGTGTGCACCACCACACCCAGCTAATTTTTTTTGTATTTTTTTGGTGGAGATGGGGTTTTCATGTTGGCAAGGCTGGTGTCGAACTCCTGGACTCAAGTGATCTGCCTGCCTTGGCCTCCCAAAGTGTTGCGATTACAGGCATGAGCCATGGCACCGAGCAATCTGGCTTCTTTATTCACACTTTTCACTCCAGAATTTTAGGCAATTCTAACTCAGATGAGAAGCAACATATTTGAAGCAGGTACCCTGACAGCATGAAGATGTGATGGAGAATCTACCATTATTAATAGAAACAAATACAATTAAAAGCAGACAAAATCTTAAAGAGCACAGCAGTCTATTATAGGATCAAATAATAATGAATGCTCCTTTTAATTAAGTTATGAAGAAAAGATAAAATTACATTTCATATATTGAACATGGCAGGGACATATACGCTATTCAATTCAGAAAATATTTTCAGGATTTTTCTTATGCTGATACTAACACATGATTATTTCAGTAATTCAAAAAACTGAATTAGGAGAAATGCTATATCCAATAATGCTGGAAAAACGTGCAGTGGCTTGTGTTTGATTGCCTTGACTCTGTTCTAAATCTAGGGTTTCCCCTGAACCTTGTCACAGTTGCTTCCTCCCTAAACTTAGCTTCAATAGCTAGCACCATAGCAGGGACCCTCAACCCTATCCCACAGTAGGTCCTGCTTCCCAAATGCTTCATGCAGTGGTGACAACAGCTGGCTGAAAATCACCTTGCCTCCAAAAAAAAAAAAGCACCAAAGAAACCCCTGCTGAGCCAGAGCCCAAGTTAAGAGATGCAAAAAGAATGGTAAGGTGCGGGAAGCAGGTAAGATCAGACAATGGCCATGCTCTGAAGCCAACGGGGAGGGCAGGCGCATTCTAGCCACTCTGCCTTGGACAACTCTGCTGGACAAACCGCACACCTGAGACCTTACAGGAGACAGCCATCAGCCCTCTGCCTTATACTTTTAGCATCTCTTCTGTTTTCTCCAAGCAATTCCTCAAAGCCATGCAATGCCTTATCCTCCAAAGCACTACATGGGCTCACATCTACCTTTCCAACGGGGTTTCTATATGGAATTCTCCAAAGGTAGACTCATCTAGACAACAGCACAATGGATGAACTGAAAGAACACTGGAGCAACCTCCAGCCAGTTTTTAAAAGTCATTCTGTAGGCTTGCTTAAGAAAATGTAGATTAAATTAATATACAAATAAGGAAATACAACAAGAGTTGAGAGTCTGAAAACTCTCTTGCCTTTCTCAATACTGTTTACTGTTGTTTTCAACAAATGAGCCTCAATACTGTTTACTGTTATTTTCAACAAATCAGTCACAGCATTATTTAACCTCTACTTTATGGTGACAAATGCAGACCTTGAACTTTCTCCTGCTTCTAAACATGAAAACTTTTAAGTAATCTAACATCTCAAGTACCATTATTGAGATATTGGGTATTCAAGCCAAGACAGTTTATTATTCTCGATGCCTGGCAGATAGAAAGACAGACTTAATTAATGAAACTCACCTTCTGAGTGGCTTCTTTTTTCTTTTTATCCTCTTTCTTCCTTTTCTTGTCTTCCATTAACTGTTCTTCCCTTTCTTGCTCCTTCTCTCTGTTAAAGTAACATCATAGCACAAGGTTATACATCTACAGTCACAACTCATTTCTGTAGCAAAGTAAATGCTTGTAAACAGTGTGCAACACGGCATTTCACCTGAGTAGAACACAGGATTTCATTTAAACCAAAAGGATGCATAAAACTCACATTATTCCCACATCTTGGTTTGTCACCCCTTTTGCAAAATGTGACATTAAGTTTAGTTTCAAAGAAGCCTGTTAAGGTGAGCTTTTATAATACCTACCTAAAAGAAAACACACACACACACACACACACACACACACACACACACACACACACACACACGATTAATGAATGTATTTCCACTCAGCAAAGGACCTGATTTGAATATGACAATATCCAGATGGCTTCTGAGCAGCATTCCTCAGAGATAATGCAGAATATATTAACTCAATTATGGGACATACGTATTTATCCTAAGTTAGGTGTTTTCCCACGACATCTTCAGAGTGGTGAACATAAAGGTCTATGTTCTGCATTCTAAACTTTTTCTCTGTATTTATTAATACTATATGTTTTATATATTTTCTACTTGTGTTTTTAAGGCAGGAACTGAGAGTCCTATAAATCAGTGTATTCCAGGCCCGGCGTGGTGGCTTACACCTGTAATCCTAGCACTCTGGGAGGCCAAGCCAGGCAGATCATTTGAGGTCAGGAGTTTGAGACCAGCCTGGTCAACACAATGAAACCCCATCTCTACTAAATATACGAAAATTAGCTAGGTGCAGTGGCACGCTCCTGTAGTCCCAGCTACTTTGGGGGCTGAGGCAGGAGAGTCACTGGAACCCAGGAGGCAGAGACTGCAGTGAGCTGAGATAGCGACACTGCACTCCAGCCCAGGCAACAGGGCCAGACTCAGCCCAGGCAACAGGGCCAGACTCAGCCTCAGAAATAAATAAATAAACAAACAAATGTATTCCCTATTGGGTAAATTCACTGTTACATTTTCCTGTATACATGAACTGAACTAATCAGGTTTTGCTCCAGTGAATTCAAATAAAAATGATATACAATCGTAAACATTCTAGTTAGATAGATATTCTGAATCTTAAGAAATTAAGAGAATATAATTTACAGCACACACTTGAAAAGTAACATTTATTGGAATGCTGTCAATTTTCACTCTATGTATCAACTGGGAAAAACCATACACTCAACCAACCGCCTTAACTTCAAAGCTCACAGTGGGAAACTCCAGACTCTATGCTTATGCAATTTCATTGCTAGGAGAGTTAAAAGTTCCCAGGTCCTCACAAATACCGAACAGATAACAAACCCATGGTTTCACAGATACCACCTAGAATAAGGCCGAGTTACAAGTGAGTCAAATGAAAGGTTAAGTGAATGACAGGTTAAGGTGGTTCCTGAAGGACTCAAGTTTGGGAAGCAGAGATCTAGTTTAACATACTGAAACTATACAAAAGGAACCATGGATGAAAACTGAGGGGGGTTCTTGTGAATACGTAATAATGTTTTATTTATAGAAAAAAGACTTAAAAATTATTTTACCTACATGTTGTCACTCTGTCCACATTCAGATATTAGCCTTTCTCCTGCACCTCTGGGTATAAAGATATAAAAGCCTAACATGCAGACTCCATGCAACCAAGGACAAAATTTTACTGAAATTTCCTTAAGGCAGGATTTCTGTGGAGTCAGATTGTGTGCCTCTGTCTAGGTGCGAAACACGTGGAGAATATCCACCTGCAGCAGCAAGTGCCCTCCTTTAAGAAAATGGATTTACAAAAACTGTTAAGATGGATGTTGACCATCTCAGGTAGGCTGGCCACAGATCCTGTTCTATTTGGCTCTAAATGCTTTGCTTCCTCGTGCTGCAAGTGGAAGGAGTGGATGGGGTTCCTCATGCCCAAGCTGCTGTAATTTGGCTTCCACATTTTACAGTGAAACCCACTATAGAAAAGGAGCAACATGGTGAAATCCTGTCTCTACTAAAAATACAAAAAATTAGCTGGGCATGGTGGCGCGTGCCTGTAATGCCAGCTACTCAGGAGGCTGAGGCAGGAGAATTGCCTGAAGAGGCGGAGGTTG